ATGTCAAAGCACAGCCCACATTCTTAGAGAAAATAATTGAAGTGAAACAAAAACTTGTTCATACAAGTCATGCTTAGCACAGTGACAAAAATTAACTACCTCTGAAGAGCGAAAGCAATGGAGGTGCTCATTCTTCTTTCAGACGGCCCGGTTCCTTTCCTAAAGGGTCTATCACTAGGGACTGAGGACTAGAGTCCTTTTGAGTTTTGCCTTTTCTAACTTAACTTGGTTTTACATAACTTCACGTTTAGAGAAATTTGTTTTTAGAGGATGAATCTGTAAAACTTGTTAGTGAACAAAATCCATATCAACCAGCAATCTGATTGGATGCAAAACATCAATGAATTATAATGAGTACTTCTGCCACAAGGCTAAGTAGGCACCAGAGTAATCTCAGAGCTTCACTAAATGCTCCAGCAAGACTGTTGAAACAGGGCCGTGACTACATCAATCCAGTTTTTAGTATATCCTAATGCACTAATGGACCCCCTCCATTTTAACTCATTACTACAAGAAAGAGCAAAGGGTGAACAAAAGCCAGGAAAACTGGAAAAGTTTTAGGGCTTATTCCTGCTCCCCTGACTGAGATCACATCTGTATACACAACTGGCTCAGGTTTAATTCAGATAGCTTTTTATAATGTTTCAGTTAACTGAAATAAGTGCATCTACACAGGAGTGTGTAGTGATTTAAAAGGAGTGGCTTCTTTTAATTCATTTTTATTCTGTTTCTAATCAAATTAAGTTAAACTGTTAAGCTATTTATTGATTTAATATTTCCCACACGCAGCCTCATTTTTGCACTGGTGTAAGTAAACTGATGTTTAAACACACCTTTATTTAAAGTGGTGTGACCATGTAGACAGACCAAAAGGAAAGGATACTTGAGAACAGAACCCCTCTAACAGACACGTAGGGATTGGCATGCCACCATTAATTTACTCTGCACCTGTGGTGCTTTTTACCCATTTATCCTGAGAGCATCCCCATTAACAGAGAGGACAAGTTTATTAACCTCTGTGCCAAGATCACACATCAGGGGAAAATCAAGGACTACAACAAAATGCTAATTGGCCATGCCTCCATTACTGCCTCTTCCTCTGGAAGAGTTATAGTCCTACAGGCATTCAGGCTAGGGATGTAAGTGATTTCTCAACTAGTCATATGCTTATCAAGTAGTCGAGTAGCAACTCAACTAGTCGCTTCCCCTCCCCTTGCTGCCTCTATCAGAGAGAAGCAGAAAGGGAGTGGCTGAGGGAGAGAGGGGGGAGGGAAGAGGGGGCGGGAAACAGGAGCTGGTGCTGGGGAGAGCTGGCTTAAAAGCCAGTTCTCCCCCAGCATCATCTCTGCAAGGGGGCAGGGAGGAGGAGAGAACACAAGGGCGGCAGAGGCACAGCAGGAAAACGGTGAGAGTGGGGACTGCTTGAGTCCACGCTATTTTGTGTTCCCCGCTGAGCTTCTGCCTTTGAAATGCAGTGAGCTGTAGGCAGATGTTAATACATTTGAAAGGCAGAGGTGCAGCTGGGATAGCGAGTACCCCACCTTCCTTTCAGAGGTGCAGCTGGGATAGCGAGTACCCCACCTCCCCCTTATCGACCAAGAATAGTCAATGGAAATTCCACCATAACTTGATTAGCTGATTGATATTTAACATCCCTAATTCAGACATGAGTAGCACCCCTGAACATGCTAAAGCAATACCAGAGTTGCAGCCACAACTGAGCATCTGATTTAAACTGCATATTCATGGGCTACAGACTATGCCAACAGGTACTGACTAGATGTGACTGAGCCAGACCTTGCCCTTCTGTTTTAGTAAGTGGTCAGTGCTGTTCTTCACTTAAAGACACATCAATAAGTGAACTATAGCAGAATCTAGGAGTACATCTAGACTGCATTGCTATTTCGGGATACAAGTATCCCGAAATAGCAATGCCGCATCCAAGGGACACGTCTGATAGTTTGAATTTTTTTTTTTTAAATAATGGATGCACTTTCACCCTCCCTGTAAACTTTGTTCTATAAGGAATAAGGGATAGCTCGAAAGAGCACTATTTCAAAATTAAATGGAAAAAAGAGACGCAATTCGTGGTTTTCGATTTTAGAGTGCAGTCTGGATGTAGCCTCTGTTGCTGAAATATGACAGAAAGCAGGTGATGAGAGATGTTGCTCCCGACACTACCAGCAACCACTGCTCGTTTATACATGTCAACTCAAATGCTTCTTCCATCCATTTTCAGTGCCCCACGTTCAAAGGAGTGATATTATTTCTGCTGGAGAGAAGTGTCTCGAGTTTTCATGGGAAGGAATGTTGTGTTTTATCTGGTCACACCAATGTAATGTGCAACAATTACTACAACAGGTCAGGCTCTATCCCACAAGTTAGTTAGTGCCTGTGGAAAAGTACCCTAAGTCAAGCACATATAGCCTTCAAACAGGAGTATAAACTCAAACTGCATGGCAGAGAAAAGTATGAGTCATTATGTTTGCAAAGTTGAGAAAGCCAGAAGACAGACACTATAGACGTGCAAAATATCACATAGTACCTGGCTTCTATCCAGGAAGCAACGATTGTATATTTATACACCCCACACATGTGCATTTCAGCTCCAGGATGCTTCACCTGTAACACATGTACTTCACCTGTAACAGACGAACTACTTCAATTTACTCCAATGTAAGTGTTCCTGTAGCTATCCAGACGAACAGACAGAAGGAACTGATTTCCTGAAGAGTATTACCCCCAATGGTATTAAAGTTAGAGCCATCAATCTGACAACAAGCAGCACTCTCATGGTTAATATTGTACAGGAGTCATCCCTGTAGGCTTCTCGTATTAACTTGGACAGTGTTGGAGAATATTAAATGATGGAAGCCTCCCTTGGTCACCCTGCGTCTTCCAGAACTGGGCTTAAGCTATGCTTCAACAAGCCACTCAATTCCCTTCCCATTCTTGCTCCCAGAACACTCTACGTGGAGTGTGATCAGAATGCTGCCTTCCACAGAGCCTGTATTGGTGGAATTCTCTACCAGTTTGGAGACAGGGCTTATGGGGCATTTTTACACAAGTAAGGGGGCCCAAAGTGGGGGCATTCTCACCCAAGTCTATATAAAAAGACCCACATTTTTGCATGGTTATATCGCTCCAAATTCTTCAGTCAAAACAGGGAATCACAGGATGGGAGGAGACAAGTTTTCATTAGCTTGTTAGGATAGAGGCCCTGAAATACCTACAAATAAGGCATTAACTGCAACACGAATCTCTAGGATCAGATTTTCAGAGCTTAGCACCAGCCATTGAAAACCAAACGGAAATGCTGCACACTGAGCTCTTTTGAAGAGTGTGGCTCATGATATTTAAAAATTTAGACTCAAAATCAAAACATGGCCAGAATGCTCAGACCAAGGCTATGCATAACCTAATATTCAATATCGAATATTTAACCTTAAACATGGACCTTATTAACAAAGTGACAAACTTTAAATAAGTTGCATAGGATTTACTACCCCAAAATGAAGTATATCAGTTTTATAATGAGGTGTGGAGAATTTACAACTGGGAAGGAAAAAAAATCAAATAAAATTTCACAGTGATTCATTTCTTCCAAGAAAGGGAAGGAAGCCGCAACCATGCTAATCATCTTCACCTGAGTGACAGCTAAGAACTGAAATGTAGCAATTTAAGGGTATTTCTCCCTTAGTTGCTCTGCACAGGAACAGGGGGGCCACTCTATGTAGGGCTCCCAGTAGGCTCCAGATGCAAACCTTTTCTAAAGGTTAGTAGAAAACTGGAATGATTCTTTATTACAAATGTCAGATGCTTATATGCTGACAGTAAACCCCCCCCCCCCCCCAAAAAAAAAACTACATCTCTGCTATAGCATAAGCAAAGGTAATGAAACAGCAAGGTCTCGGCCCTCCCCCCGAGTGGTAGAGGACTCATGCATTCATCCTGTGAATAGTAGATTTCAGACATAATGAAGTATGATTTTATACCATCAAATAAATGAAGAACTGCAACAAGACTTAACAAATGTGATTAGTATTATCCAACTGCTGTTATAAATTATATACATTCAGAACATCACATTAAAATATTATTCCATGTTACACCAGAAAAGATTAAGGCTTTGTATTATTTACAGAAACCAATGCACACCTTAAAAACACCAACCATTAACATTTCTGTGCTAAAGACACATATTTGATATCTTTTGCTCTCAAAAAGACAACAATTTGCAGATGTGCCCACTGCTACACCTACTGTAAATGATTATTGTAACAAACACACTGGCAAGATCCCATCACTAGGCACTCTAAATCATCAATGCAAGCATGTGGGAAACACATATACAGAGTGCCCTCCAGATACTCAGAATTTATTAATATAAAGCTGACAACTTATACAGAAATAGTTTGATCAAATTCCTCCTGTTCTAATTTTTAAGGGAAACTGAACACTTAAGAATTTTTTGCCCATTGATAAAGACTCATGATTTTGAAGTCTGTTCCATACCACGTTAACAAGACTTAACGCAACAGCAAAGATGGAAGTGACAGATTTATCAACCACTAAACGCACTGAAATGGTGACAATTTTATTGGCTTCCATCACTCTGACACGCTGTTTTCATGCAGTATATCTGGATGGGATTTCTTAAAAATGCAGTAACGAATTATCTTCACTGTTCTCCATATTGGTCTTAGACAACAAGCTATTTTTAAAAGTTAAATAATGTTGATACAACACATGTTTACCGTGCCACCAATGTATTAGAAGTGATAGTGCATCATCTTTCTCTCTGGCTCATCTGATGGCTTTTATGAGACTCAGTGATGAAATATTTTCTAAGACATCAGCAGACATGGCTAAAGAAAGGTGCTCAGTACAAACGGAAAAGTAACCATTCGCATTTCAAGTATTGTTTAAGAATGAGTTTTTAATTGCAGTCGATGTTAGCACTTTTTAGCTTGTGCTTTAGAGTCTGTTATTTCTTTATAAGTCTTGCATTTGGCTGATGGCTTTTTTTTTTAAAGTTGGCAACAAAGATAAGAACTGTAGAAAGTTGATAAGAGTTATTTAATTTTCTGAGCCCACTTCATGTCATCTGCTCTAGGCTTTTCCCCAGTCACTCCTTGGATAATATTCTCTAAGCATCTCCAAAATCCAATCTTCTCTAATGGATAGTTCAGCCAACCTGAATGACCAAAGGGAAAAAATAAAAATTAAAAAGTATCAAGAATTAGCGTAAGCCATAACAGTAGGAACTCACGTTTGCATGCCCTTTCTTCTTTACTTATTCACTTTAAAATATACAAAAAAATGGTTACAGAAGTTCAGTGGTAGTTACTACAGGCAAACAGAGAATGGCCATTTCGCAATGCTAAGCGGATCCTATTAGGGTAAAAGTGACAAACTTTAAAAACAAAAATAAGAGCTCTTCACAGTCTGCTTTGTTCTTAACTATCTCGAGCAGTTTAGTATCAGCTGAGGAGAGGAACTGAGAGGCTGCCAGAGGAGCTGCCCTGCAGCCTGCTTGGTCAGGTTAGAGCACAACATTCCTGCAGGTGTGATACAGCACAGTAAACGGATTCAGGCTGGTGGGATTTTCATGATGTGAATATGCCCATCATGGGATTCAAACATTATAGTGGTACCCTTTGTCCCAAAAATAAGACCAGGGTACCTTCGTGGTCACTTCAACTCTGCCCACCAGTGCCCCACCTCCTCTCATCCAGCAGGTGTCTCTCCCACCAAGTCAATCTGCAGGCTAATGACCTACCGTGTGAGTCATCAACTGAGCTAAGCATTCACTGTCTTGCTAGCAACCCACCCCCACCTCCATCCCTTCTGGTAAGGCAGCAGGTACGATCTAAGCAACGCTGCCTGCACTCTCTGGGGATGGACTGGTCCTTCCCACATTTTTAAATAGAGAAGGTACAGGCTTTTCATGAACAACATAAGGACACTGATGTTAACAGAAAGCATGAATTCACAAGTAGACTTGTAAATTACTTGGCTAGCAGAAAAAAAACAAAACAGTAATCTGTGATAAGCTTGCAGTTACAGCTTTGCTTCCTAGCATACTTTTTAGTTTATGAATAGCTTAAGATCAATACAGAAATTGGTTCATAAAATAAGGCCAGTCAAAGCATAGGATACAATGTAGAATGTGTTGTGCAGGTGTTAGTGTGTTTTAGAATAATCTGATTTATAATTATGTACTTGGCAGGTGTAGTGAACCTTAGCCCATCCCCCTCACCGATCACCTCAGGTATAGCTTTATGAAATTCCAATTCAGAGACCTCTCAGTGAGGAGTCTGGATTCAAACCAAGTTTCTGGACCCCAGAGAACTGGATAAACTGTTCTCCCAGAACTGGATGACATTTTCCGGATAAGCCAAGTAGAAAAGTCTAGGAAGGATCCCAACCGTTAGCCTAGAAGCTTTAACATTAGGAGTTTCATTAAGAGTCTGTGCACTCAGTTATCTGACACTATTCCAGCAAAGATACCAGGGCAGACACTTATGAATATGGGATCAGCTCTGAAGCAATGTACATTCAGGATTTTAAGCTTTGCTCAGCGACACTAATGTAACCCCCCTTTTCCTCCCCGAGTTACTGGGGAGCAGGTCACACTCACAGGTGGGCCTGGGCACCTGGTGTTTTAACCCAAAAGAGATCCTGAGCACCCCAGTGGTGATGGGGTTGAGTTGTGGAAAACCCATCCACCCTCTTGCTGCAGTGAATATAAAATGGCGGTGCCTCCACCTGGCTGGCCTTGTACACACTCACTGGTGTGCCTTGAGAGCCTCCAGGAACACACTATTCCAGAACAACTACAAATCATATACATCTAATAGAACACTTTAAAATAAACAATCTTTACTTAATTTAAATAAACAGGGATTAACAGAATTAGCAGTGAATAGCATTAACAAAACACATAACCATAATTGAAGCTTATACAGCTAACATTTGGACTCCCAGTGACCCCACCCCAGAGTGTGCACACCCCTGGACTAACAGCCCCAGACGCTTGCGTGGGCGCACTGATGTTGCAGCTGTAGTGGAGATTCGGTCCAGGCGAGACAGCAGCTCTGTCCCAGGCAGCACTTTTTCAACAAAGCCCCGAAACTTACTGCCTCATGCTGTGCCTATAGGAAGCAGCCTGCTAACTCCCAGTTCCAACAGGCATCTAGTAGCTGCACTTCAACAGCCCCTGCACTGGGTCAGTGTCCTTGGCAGCAGCCTGGCTCCCCCTTTGGTTCCAAACTGCAAGGCAGAACCCCAGACTGCTAGGCCTCTTTCTTCAAGCACATGGAGAAAGCAGCCCTCTCTCCCAGCAGAGTCCTTCCTTCCTGTTTTTCCCCCAAGGGCTCATGGGAATTGTTGCTACAATCCTGTGTGCTCACAGGGTGTTTTCAGAATAAAACAGAGGCCCCTTTAGTAAGGGGACTACACTAACAATATTGCTTTTTAAGTACAGCACATGCCTCATTATCTACACACAAATCAATCCCCCCCCCCTTACACACCCTCCCTCCACAAAAGAGAGCTTTACACCTCCAAGATTGGGGACTTTGATTCCACACATAGTGGGCTGGAGAAGAGGGAATAGGGTTAACACTTTTCATGATGTTTTTGCTCATTTAGTGCTTTCAGTAGGAAATGCTCAAAGTTCTTGATAAAGTGGCTATTTGAGTCAGTATGGTAGAGTCAGTAGATATGGAGCAGAGGACTGGAATTGGGATCAAGCTAGTCACTTGACTGTGCCTCAATCCTTATTGTATTTTGTTCCAACTATGATTAAGAGCAAACCATTTGCTTCACTTCACATTTGGATGTTAGGTGAAATCTATATTTCAGTGTAAATATGAACGATCATCTATGTAATAAAGGTCTTAGCAAGCAGCATGGTAGTACCTTAAGTGCCAGGGAGTGGACTAAAGAAGCTACAGTAGAAATGAAACAAATGCTGAGGCTAAAAGACTGTTTTCTAACAGATGACAGGAACAAGTTACAAAGCTTTATACAGGGCACGTAATATTGCATGACTAATACAAATCTATAGATTGGTTTATTTCATGGTCTTTTTGTCAGAGTAGGAGATGGAGTCAGGAATCTAGAATTTTATTTTCCAGCGGTCATCACCACTCATTGTGCGACCCTGACCAACTTATTAGCATCTCTGTGGTTTAGCTTGTCCACTTGCAAAGTGGACATAACACCTCAACTGATAGTCAGCTGCAGTGAATATCAAGATTTATAGACTCCAGGGGAGCTGGAGGCCAAGAAAACCTTAGTAAAGAAGTTACACGTGTTCTGAATGCCTTTGTTAGAAGCATTTGGAAATTCTCTCATTATGGCCATGAACTTCCAAAGTCTAAAAATGTGTTTTGGAAATTAACATTCAAGGAGAGATGCCAGTATACAGTAAGAAAACAAAATTATTTCCTTTGTAGGAGAAAAGTAGCAACTCTCACAGAATTCACTGCAATGAATAAAGGATACACTAATTTTATATGTGAGGTCAAATTGCTTGACCTTTTCCAAGCATCACAGACCTGAAGTCAACAGTAGGAAGTTGTGATTGGCTGGGGGGAAGAGGAGAGGAAAATCGGTAAGTCTGATTTTTCTTATTTATGGAACAATACCAAGTAAAGCACCTCCATTGACTTGGACACTAAAAGCTAAGCATATTGTAAGTTGTGGCATGTAACATCTTCCACATTTGACAGGCACTAACAACATACATGCAATCAGACTACGTTCTTGCCACGCATGCTTCGTCTGCGAATATATGGTTTACTTTACCTGTGGTTATACAAAAATAAGTCTCATGGGGAGATACATGATGGATTCGATGGTGTTTCCGTGGCAGGATAATATGCCAGTCCTGCAGAAAGACGACCCAGCAAGGAAGACCGAAGTATGTATGAGACCACTTGTGAATCTGGTTTGTTAAGGTTACAAAGATAGCCAAGGCAAAGACATAACACTCCCAAGGGCATGTTTGGTACAGCGCTTCTGCAAAAAAAGGAAAGTCTGGTTTATTTTACTGAAGAAGCAGATTCCTACTAGGCAGTTTGACTCCTTCATCCTGCCCTTGCTGGTAATTGAGGGGCCACTTCTAAACTATTCTAGCAGTAGCTGACATTTCAGATGTTGGTAAGGCCCAGGACCAAACTGCTTCAGCAATAGACTGACAGCAGAGCCACTGAGTCATGAACAATTCATGAAACTCTAAAATGCCACAAAGTAATTAGGTGGCAAGACTGCTATGCACCACACCAAGTTAGTCAAAATAAATTCAGTCAAATGGATAGTGCTATGGATTTACTAGCAATTGTACAGTTAAATAGGAGAAGTCAAAGCTTTATTAGTCTTTGCATTTATTGAGCTACTTCTGCAAAACGGCAAATTTCTCTGGTTTTTAAACTTAAGCTTTCTTCCTTAATAGCCAGAGTTAAAAGGTCCTTTGGGAAAGAATGAGATGCTAGTTCTTCTGCCAAATTTATATTCTAAAGTCTCTTTATTGAACTTTTCAGTGGGAAACTTTCCTGGAGATAGGATGAGGTGGGCAATAATTTTTGAAGTGGTCGTGGGCAGCCCCAGAAGGCGGGGGGAGGGGGAGAGCCTCAGGCAGAAGGGACAGGGTCAGAAGCTTCCTGTGCTCCCCCACCCACAGACCCTGATTGGCCTGGGGGCAGCGGAGCATGTGAAGTTTTTGCTTCCCCACCCCCAGCACCTAGAGAAAACCGCCAGCTAATTTGAACAGCTGGTGGTTCCCTCTGGTGCCATGCACCCCTGGCAGGGGGAGGAAACTTCACCTGCTCCTCTGTCCCCAGGTCTTGACTGGCCTGCGGGTAGGCGAGTGGCCACAGGCTGGATCAACTGGCTTGGTGGGCTGGATCTGGCCCACAGAGGTTGTCTTGCCCACCCCTAGGGTAAGGGATTCAGACGCAGGAGGGCCTGTGAGGGAGTTTGGGTGGAGGCAGCAGTTGTGGCATGGGATTGGGATGCAGGGGTTTAGGATGCGACCTAGGGCAGGAGGGGGTCAGGCCCTGGGGCAAGCAATTGGGGTGCACGGTCTGGGAGAGAGGATGGACCCAGGAGGGGACAGAGGACAGAAGTGGGGGGAGGCAAAGGGCTGGGGGGGAGGGAGGCGCTGGGGTGCCAGAGGCAGGCTTTGGCCAGGAGATTTACCTGTGAGACTCCTGGCCAGCAGCCCAACTTTCTCAGGCATGAGCCTGCCCCACCCCTGCACAAGCTGCGGGCCATGTGCTATATGAATAAGAGCTGGAGGGGAGGAGGAGTGGTGCTTCCCATGCTGCCAGAAATCGGCCAATGGGATTATGCTGGAGGCAGGAGCAGCCATGAGGCACTACTGCCCCCTCCCCAGTTAATGAAGCACAAAGGGCCCTGCAGCCACTTTTCTGAGCAGCATGCGGGGTGCAAGGCAAGCAGGGAAGTCTTTCTGAGACTCCCTGCTGCCTCCATGGGCCGGATCTGGTGGCTTAGAACGCCAGATCCAACCTGCAGAGGGTGTTTTGCCCAAGCCTGAGATAGAAGATACTTTTGTTACGTGACAGGTTAATCACCCATCATCAAGTATTGGGAAAAGTCTCCCCCTCCTCCATACATCTGCTCCCAGATACAGTTCTTAATCCCTTTCACACACAAGGACAAGACTTATTCAGTGTTCCCAGTGGTGAAGATTCTAAATCTTTATATATATTATATATAGATATGAAAATATGGACTTAGAATCTATATGTCACTACTAATAGCTTAAGCTTACCTGGGGAAAGAGAAACAAACTTGTAGGCCATGTTTGCCAATGGCACTAGTGTCATCATGCAGTTATCTCCATTGGTCTCTATAAAATCATGTCTAGTAATTGCTGTAGGGTCAATGTGATGTTCTCTAAAAGGTCTGATGAAAGCCTGAAAGAAAAAAGCCAGAGGTGAGAGACCATTACTCATAAGAATGAAAGCATCATACCCAGAGAGTGATAGAAGGGCTTCCATACTACCAAGCACTTAGGAATTGCGGTTCAAGTGGTCAGAAGTAGTGTTTGGAATAATTCATCCATCTGTTGCTTTATACTTGCAATTCTTCACAAAATGCTTCTAACACAGTCCAGTATTTACATTTTAAGCAGTGTTCTAATGTTAACATACCCAGCGGTTTTCATTAGGGATTGTGAAAGTTTAACTGGTTAACCAGTGGGGGCTGGAACAGCTCTCTACTTGCCATGGGCAGGGGGCTGCTCCAGTCATTTGGGGCGACTTGCCACAGACAGGGGCTGCTCCGACCAGGATGCTGGAGCAACCCCTGCCTGCAGGGTACCTGGGCCTGCCATAGGCAGGGACTGCTCCAATGTCCCAGCCAGCAAAGCTCGTGCCTGCGACGGGAGCAGGTATGTGCCCAAAGGAACATGCAGGGGCTGCTCTGGCCAGGTTAGAGCAACCCCTCCTCCCCCCACTCACCACTCCTTTATTGGTTAACCGGTTAAACAATGTGTTTAACTGGTTAGCCAATTAAATGGGATTTTACATCCCTACTTTTAATCTCCAAGTGCTCTATAAAGATCAATATGTATCATCACAATTATACAGATGGGGGAGAAGCACAGAAGTTAAGTGACTTGCCTAGCTATGTGACCTTTAGCAACAGCAGATTTGGGAACAGAGACCATTCTACTTACTGCTGATCTACTGTTACTTTTGCTTATTAATACTGCCATTCATATGGCATACAATAGAGTTGTATGATTGGTAGACAAACAGAAAGTGACAGATAAATCAGCACAATGAAAATGAAAGGCTTCTACAAGAGGAGAAATGAAAAGTAAGCAGGTCTCAAACAGGAGACAAGACAGAGTTATGCAACAATGATAGATGCGTGTAAGCATCTTTTCGTCTCATTATACAGGAGCCAGGATTAGTGAAACTGAAACGCAACAAGTTTAAGACTGATCAGAGGAAATTTTTTCCAACATGGGTGCATAATCAACCTGTGAAAGTCACTACCGCAAGATACAATAGATTAGAAGAAAGCATTTACATGAACCATAGATACATCTAGAGGTACATTATATATTCTGGGGACTTTATGGGATGTGAACCCTCTTATTTCAGGACACCCACTAAATAAGGACCAGGAAGGAACCAATCCATAAGAACAGGTGGATTCATATTGTCCATTACAGAAATTCTCTATGGCACTTTCCTCTCAACATCTGGTCTTGACCACTGAAAGGGACACGATACTGGACTAGAGACACACCATTGGGTTGATATTCAGAAATAGGAAATTCAATTTTACCTGAAACCAAGTTGCTGGAACAACCTGTTATTGGTTCTCTAAGCCAGTGGTCCCCAACCATTTAAGGGTGCCGGGTGCCAGAGGGCAGGGCCCCCCCATAGCCACACACCCGGGGCCGGTTCCCCCCCCCCCAAACGCCACGCATGCCCAGAGCGCGGGCAGCCAATCCGCAGCGCTCCCGGGGCCGGCGCTCACCGTGCGCCACATGCCCGGGGCCAGGCCAGCCCCGAGCACTTGGCAGGCGCACACAAATGCCCCCGCGTGCGCCATGGCGCCCACAGGCACCATGTTGGGGACCACTGCTCTAAGCTTTCAATTTGGCTTGACCATACTTTTGTTTCCGTAGCAACAGCTGTATGTTTATACCAGTGTTTCTCAAAGCAGGCCTCAGGCCTGCTTTGGGAAAGCCACTAGCAGGCCCACCCTTCTCTTTACCAAAGGGTCCATAGCCATGGAGCTTCATGGCTCCAGTTTGCCATTTCCAGCCAAGACGAGCTGTGGAAAGTGGCGCAGCCTGGGCCTTGCCACTTCCACTGGCTCCCAGGCTCCTTGCACAGAAAACCTGAGCCGATGTTAGCCACAAGGCTCTGTAGCTGCGGACCCCTTTAGTAA